TACTGATTTCACTACTGCCAGAAGTTCTCTTCTCGTGACGCAATAATTTCGCTCAGGTTTTGAGAGAACTTTACTAAAATATCCAAGGACTCTTTCCTGTCCTCCTTGAATCTGAGACAGCACTCCTCCAATTCCCACATTACTTGCATCTGTATCTAAGATGAACTCTCCTTCTGGCAGTGGATACCCTAAAATTGGTGCTGTGATTAAATGCTTTTTTAAGGTTTCAAAGGCATTCTGGCAGTCTACATCCCAGCGGTATTCTCTTGCTTCCTCTGTAAGTCGCGTTAATGGTTTAGCGATATCTGCAAACTTCTTAATAAACCTCCGGTAGTAAGTACATAGTCCCAGAAAACTTCTCACTTGGTGTTTGTCAGTTGGTTTTGGCCATTCCTTAATGGAATCAATTTTTCCCTTATCCACAGCCACTCCTTCTTTACTGACTATATGACCCAGATAATTGACTTTACCTTGAAATAGCTGGCACTTCTTGGGGTTTAACATCAATTGGGCAGCTTTAAGTCGATTAAAAACGTTTTCTAAATTCTTCAGATGGTCTTCAAATGTCTCCCCCAAGACGATTATGTCGTCTAGATAAACTAGGCATGTTTTCCAAGATAACCCTCTCAACACATTTTCCATAAGCCTCTCAAATGTCGCAGGAGCGTTACAAAGTCCAAATGGCATAACGTTGAATTGCCATAATCCAGATCCTGTGGTGAAGGCTGTCTTTTCTTTATCTACCGGGTCCATTTCTACCTGCCAGTATCCAGACTTCAAATCCAAAGTAGAAAATAATTTACTTCCAGATAATGTGTCTAATGTGTCATCAATCCGAGGCAGAGGATAACTATCTTTCTTGGTAACGTTGTTCAGCAAACGGTAATCCACACAGAACCTCGTTGTTCCGTCTTTCTTCTTAACCAGGACTACCGGAGAGACCCATGGGCTCGTAGAAGGTTCTATCACCCCGTCTTTCTTCATTTCCTGAACAATCGTTTCAGCTTCCTCTCTTTTCGCCTGTGGTAATCGTCGAGCTGTTTGACGAATTGGCTTAGCATTACCAGTATCAATTCTATGCTTAACAACGGTAGTTCTTCCCGTCTTTCCTCCTTTCGGTACGAAAATATCACGATACAGCCGAAGAAATTCCCTTAATTTCCTTTTCTCAATCTGATTCAGAGACTGTCCAGCAACTGCAACCATTTGATCAAATTTGTCGTTGGAATTATCAGACGTTGTCGTCTGACGGATTATGGATGTCACAGGTACACAAGTTCCTACTTTTGTCTCTTTCTTGATGGTCACTGGGTAGTCATTGACATTGATAAGTCTAACAGGAATTTCTTTAGCCGAGGTCACCAATTCCTTTCCAATTATGATTCCACGGCCAACTTCGTCGTCATGGTTCCAAGGCTCCATCATAACAGGTGTCCCTTCGTCCACAATTCCCTGTAGCCGCGCTACTATTATCGTTTCACTTCTCGCAGGCACGACTGTATCTTCTTTAACGGCTGCTTGCATAGTGTTGTCATCATGTGGATGGAGAAATACCTCCTCGTTACCAACTTTGATTACCTTATTCTTAAAATCCAATTGGAATCCATGCGTATTCATTACGTCCATTCCTAATATAACATCCTCTTCGATGTCAGCAACTATAACAGTATGGACGAACTTTTCTGCTCCAATTCCTAATTGTACCTGGATTTCTCCATGAATGTTGGCATTTTCACCTGTGGCGGTCCGAAGTCGCAACCTCGTTGGTAACAGTTTCTTTCGGCTGTTTATAACTGTCGGGCGTATAATGGTTCTGGTCGCTCCAGTATCCACCAACAACGTATGCTTTTTACCATTTATTTCTCCATCTACATATACACTATCTTCACGACATTTCAAAGAAGCTATTAGTATCAGAGGGTCTTTGGTAAAGTTCTGGGTCGAAGCTGCTCCCCTAAGGCCGACGCATTCTGGTTTTGTCTTCGGTCTTATGGTCTTCGTTTTCTTGTGTGTCATGCTTTTTATCATATTAAAGAGCTGGTCAAGTTTATCTTCGTCTCCTTCCTCTTTTACAGTTCTAACTTTACTGTATCCGCCAGAGGCTAGCGTAGCTGACTCGTATTCGAGGGCGGCAGATAAGACATCCATCAGCGTCTTGTGACGAGCTAATCGTAGTGTTCTTTGCATCTCATGATCACGAAGACCATCAATAAACGTTTGAACGGCCAACTTTTCCATCATGTCTTCGGGAGCTGTTGGATAAGCATATCGCACTAATCTGGCGATATCTACTTCATATTCTTGAAGAGCCTCATCTTTCTTTTGTCTTCGATTTTTGAGCTGCGACTGATATACATGCTCCAAGTGTTCGTGGCCATATCGCATATTTAACCTCTTCTTCAGTTGTTCGAAATCATCCGTCTCCTCTACGGCTATGGTCTGGAGCACATCTAAGGCATCTCCTCGAAGAGCGATAGTCAGGTTTACAGCCTTTTCTTTTTCAGACCATCCATTCGCTCTTGCAGCTGATTCGAACTGTTTTATGTAGTTGTTCCATGATGATTTTCCGTCGAAAGTTGGGACTTTGACATGAACGGAACTTCCACTTCCTTCAAATTTCGGCCGTGTTTCCAACTTACATTTCGTCTCGTCTTCTTTTATCTCTACCGGATCTAAAGCTACCGTATTAATTGGTGGTAGCACTCTCGTGTTAGTTATCATGGTCTCTAACTGTTTGATTTTCTCTTCAACTTTATCAAATGTTTTAGAGACTTCTTCAAACTTCTCACTATTCTGAATACATACTTCGTCGAATCTTCTAGACATATTTTCAATTTTCTCGTCATTTTGTCTAGCTATTTCTTTAATAATTTGAGACGTTTCATCGAATCTTTCATCAGTTTTTTTAGAAGTTTGTTCGATCATTTGCGAGACATTTTCAAATTTCTCATTTATTTTTGTTAAAACTGTTTCTTCTGATGATTGAAACTGGAATGTCTCTGGGTCATCTCCATTCTTGTTAAGAACATTCTTCAGTCGCTCCTGGAGGATCTTCTTGGACCCGCTGCAGTCTTCATCGCGTTCTTCTAATTGCTCACGCAACTGTTTTACCGAGAGTTGTACTAGCAGCATCTTTGGTCAGGCACACACGTACTTTTTAAATGTTCTTTCGTACAACGATCACTACTGAACTACGCGGATGTTCCCGACGAACAATACCTTTCAAAAGTTCAAAAGTCTTTTTCAAAAATCAAATTAAATTTATCTACAATCCCACTTCTGCACCACTGCGACGTTTATATAGTTCTAATTTATATGTCTTTATTCTAATTTATTGTCTATAATCTAATTTATTAAAACTCACGATAACTAATTACGAATTTATTAAAGTCTTTATTAATTCTAATTTATATTACAAATAATAATTTATGTTTCGTTACATTTAAATATCGCGGTTGCCGAGCTTCTTATCACCCTCAAATACAAAAATCTTTCATTTATATACACAACTGTTGTCATCTGGAACTTTCGGCAAACTTCCTGAATAGTCTCGTATTTTGGTGAAGGCGCTCGACTCGTTTTTCAACCTCGAGACGTGGATGACTCACTAAAATTAGTGTCTAGAGATTTCTGGTAAACAACTGGTAGCTAAGCTCAGGTATATTTTGACCTACAAATTACGAGAATCAATAAAAAAGAATTAGTCATAAAATATTTACAGTTCTATATGCCATAACATTTAAAATCGTAACAGTAGTAAAAAACCAACTTTTTCTTTTTGTATGTTCAAATTTTAACTTTGTTGTTTTTAATATTGGTATTTTTACTCTCTCTTTTGGTAAACTGATGATGGAATGATACAATTCCGAAAAGATCTTCTTTATAATAAAAAATTTTAAGCTTTTAATAAGCGCTTTTTTTATACCTTAATACACACGAACACCACGTGCTTTGATAAAAAAATATATTTCATTCGGCAAACAGATTGGTAAAGGTCGATCTAGATTCGGATCTGGTTCTAATATATTCTGGTAAATCTGCTTTGTTATTTGTAAATGTTAAAAATCAATACCAACGTATTTATTTAGAATTAAAACATATACCTTTATATTCATAGTTCATTAAAAAAATAAAAGGGAGCGATTCCTGTCACTATTCTGAACATTACACACAATCCAATAAATTGACAAAGGTCAAATGTTGGTAGCAGAATTCCCTTGTAATTGCGTAATCGGTCTAGACGTTTCACTTAAAACGTTATTTATTAACTGTCACGACTTTATTATCCATTAGTTCTGTACCATGTGTTTTTCTCTTCGTTAAACTAATAGGCAATCAGAGTAACTGTAAGTGCCAATTTCGTAAAGATATAAATAGTTTAAATTAAATGAACTAAGAAAAATAAATCAAGCAAAAGATTTGTTTGGTTCTTTTAAGGCTTGCCTATAAGAATTACTCTAATAATTAGTCATTTATTCAGTTCGTATTTATGTATTTATCGACACTTTAAAGGTAAAACTCACCAATTACTTGTTACATAGTTTGGAGAAAATGAAGTTTTAAAAAAAAGTGCAATATTTTTGGACCTTTATTTTAAATCCGATTTTATGGATTTTTGGGTTGGTATTTTATTTTAAGACGCTCTTTGATGTTGATAATTAAATTCAAAATTAGAGTTTTCAGTTTCGTCAAAAAATGTAAAAGAGTACTTAATAGATTTTTCCTCTTAAAATATTTATGTTTAGGACAGTACTTATTGAAGTAAATATGTACGTAGTGAAAAAAACGTGTACTTAAGTAATTTTTTCTTTAGTGATGATTATTGACACACTTACAAAACTTGAGACCTTATTCTCTTACGAGATGGTCAGAAATCATAACGTAACTGTACTGACCAGTTCCCATTTTAAGCATTAATAATAGTGAATAAGGATAATAAAACAACATAACCTATTTTTAAATTTATTCAAAAAAAGTTCTCAAATTAAAGAAACAAAATTTTATTCATCTGTAGAATCTTCATACACATCCGGTTTTGGACGTCTTTCGATTGTATCTGTAGTAGAAATGGGTAAGTTTTGGTACCACAAATGAGTTTCTTCTGGTATTAATCCTAACCTGCATAATTTTTTCACATCATCTCTTTTTTTCTTTGTTATGGGTAGGAGACGTTTGTATGCTGGTGGAAGTTCTACATTAATTTCAAGTTTGCGACGACCTACACCAGTGACATTAATCTTTTGGTAATCTGATTTATCTTATTATTGGGACCGTGCAAGTTCGGAACAGCGACACCTGGAGTTGCAAATCAGCAAAATTTACTGCGCTTTCATGTTAGATCGAGGTTACCGGATAAGTGTCAAGGACGTAGCCCCAAAAAAGAATAAGAAGAAAAGTAAGATTGAGGTTTTGTCGGTATGTTATTAAAAGGTAAACGTTGTATGTAGTGTAAATACAAATAAATATATTATTAAATTACAGCATTACTGTTATAATGGATGCAATAATAAAAACTAGATTTGAGAAAGTAAATCACCAAATAACTTTTCAACCAAGCACTGAGTCAAAGGGAAAAGCTTTAGTAGTGGCAAATGTCAAAAAAGAATGGAAGAATTATGTGGAAGAATTAAGAAAAATAAATTACCATATATCATCATATTGGTTTAAACAATTAATTCTTTTCCTGTAAACTTTTGGACAGCGAATATATCTTAATGCATCTTCAGAAAAACTTGATGCATTTTTGTAAACTTCAAAAAAATAAAATTTAAACATTAAACTTGATTTTTGGGTTAAAATGAACTCTAAGTGAGTGTTATGAAACTAAAATTTACACTTAAAAGTGAACTTTTATTTATTATATATTTCAAACTGACTTTAAAATCGGGCGCAAGAATAATGAATAATTTAGGTTATGTTACTTATGCTTTTTTATGATATAAATCCACTTTTCTTTTTGTAGTAGCTTTGTGATTCGAAGTTGGAAACGAATAAAACTTAAATTGACAATATTTTGTTGTATTTTTATAATTTATAACACAGCATTTCCTAAATCCCATTTTCTTCAGTGACAGAAAGTTTAAATAAACAAACGAATATGACAATTGACAATATGAATTTATGAAATCTATGAAATGTGCAGTAAAAAATGCAAGATTTCTCCGCTACTCGCGCACGATCGTTTCTCGTATCCCCTCCAAGTACTTGCACGTCGCCAATATCTGTAAAAGATCACGTTGGGGGAGTTTTTTTAAATTTTAAACATTTTAATTTGAGCTATGAAACTTGATGTCCTGACTCATCCCGGTTAAGGTTTTTTATTGTTTTCGAGGTCAGATCTTGGAGATCTTTAAACTCGGTAAATTCAAATTCCTTTATTTGGTACGGTGGCTTAAACTCCTAATTTTTCTTTTTTGTTAACTTAAAAGTAGTCTTGATAACCAATCAGTCATAGTAAACGCTGTTTTATTTCTTTTACAATTCCAAAAATTTTAATTCAATTTTTTTTAATGTGAGTCACCTTAACGGCATAAAGCAATACAGCTGCCACCTGTTGGTTCCTATTTTGCCCTTCACATGTATTGGAGAAAAATGATATTTCACTTATTGTGGATGGCAGATCTTCTAGGTAATAGAGAAGAATGGAATCTATTTCACAACTGCCCGTTTTCCATTTAACTCGTTCCAGTAAAAGCAATATACATTTGAACCTGCACCCTCGTAGATAGTTAGATTGTACAAACATATTTTAGAACAGTAAGAAAATTGTGGTACATTCGAGAATGGTAATTGCAATACTCTGCAAATCAAAATTTGCTGTTATGAACGAAGGATAAATTTTGCAGCGTTCTTTATCTTGTTCCTTGGCAGCATTACATTCATTTTTGCTATTAATATGTTCAGAATATTCTACTTCCAAATCTTTCTTTCTACATCTGCCTTTGCATATTTGTTACATAACGCACACTGGTCCTTCTTTGGCCTGAAAAATGAGAGATTATACTCCGTACAGAATATTTTTCTCTATGTATATTCACTTAATGTTGATAATTGTTTTTCTTCGCACATTTGTTTATATAGCTCAACATTTTTAATATCAATAACTTACAATCCAAATACTTCTTTTGTGTGTGCTTTCGCACGTAGTGTGATTCAATACAAGGAAAACTTTAGATGTGGTTTTTAACTACTGCAACTTGCTTATCAAAAGTTTTATTCCCAGGTGTCTTTCTACCGAGTCTGTTAATGCCTTGATAGGTGCTCGTATTGTTCATACCTTCAACAGCAGTATACGTTCTGTATATGTTAAATTATTAGTGCAATTAAACCGACAACGACTACAATTTACATCTTTTCGACGTTTAGCATCACATGGTTTCATTTTTTTAATATAAGGCAAACACATATATCGCTGTTTTTTCGTCTTGTTTATTTTCCAATTTTCTGAATTTGTCTTCCTGTACCGAATAGGAGCTTTCGCAGTAGTGTCTTTTAGTGACCTTTCATCTAAATCTGTAATTAAAGCTAAATCTGTAATCGACCCATTTCTTCCATGTTGCAGATAATAAGTAATTGAATCATCGTAAGAAAAATCTTCACTGCTAGAGTACGATACCAATTGTAGTGAAGATCGTAAAATAAGATGGTCCCGTCTGTCTTTTCGTTCAACACCTTCTTCGTTAATATCCACTTGTGGGTAACTATTTATTTCGAAATCTGGATTGTGATGAACCTGTGAACAACAGATTAATTAATCACAAACATGTGATACTGCAATTAATTATTATTGAGAAATTAATGTGCCACATAACGCGGGCTAGCATAAAATAAAAATATTACAATATTTAGTACTCACATCGGCTTGTACAACCAGCTGGTCAATCTGTTTGTCATTCCGTGCGAGACCTTCATTCTCATTCTCCACTTGAGAGTCATTTTTAATCTTGAATTTTCTCAACTTCAAACACAAAAAACTATGAAAACTTACAAACTCGTAATAAAGAACACGCCATCATCAATGTAACAATTCAGTACGTGACACATAAATCACAGAATGCATAGAATTAAAATTGTGTGTAAGTTAATGCTTAACTGTGTGAGTTAAAAACGTCAAAAAACTGTCAAACTTAAAAGACGCTTTTTAAAGTTCCTTACAAATTTTTAGAGATTTAAAAAGTATTAAATACAGTTCCGTAGTAGTATTCATAGATATTAGACGTGCAATAATTTACAATTAATATTGTGCTTTAAATTGTGAAATTTTTGGCGTTTGCTAACAACAATATCGTTTATTGAAATACCTACCGTATGAGTGTCAATAGCAGGGGGAGACCCCCTGACCCCAAAAAACCCTCAAAACCAGGTATGTCTGAAAATATATTCGATAATCAAAATGATGCCGAAATGGATATTTCTGTAAGTACTCCAACACCAATAAATTTGATGAATAATGCAAATACAACCCTTCTGAATGAAACACAACAAAAAGTAACAAAACAGGTAAGGCAAGCATTTTTATTCAATAGTAATGATCTAGGTCCATATCATGTATATATCGAGAATACCTCTACTCAGTTTAGAGGTAAATTTAATCCTTTAAAGATTGGTGAAATTATTTTATCTAACTTTCCTGAAGCAGACAATTTGATTTCAAGTATAGACGGCATTGGCCGAAATAGAATTAGAGTCAAATGTAAAGAATATAAAACTGCTAACAACCTCATCAAAAACAAAACTCTAGAAATATTTCGTTCAAATAATTTAGATCTGTATATTCCAAAATTTATTTTACACAGACAAGGAGTTATTAGGGATATAGACACAGATTTGTCGGAAGAGTATATTAAAAATATAATTAAACAGTATGATAGTCATTGCATATTTGAAATTGCAAACGTTAAAAGAATTACACGTAAAGTAGAAAAATTTGTTAATGAGGAAAAAAATTGTCGAATATGTCCCTACTAAGTCTTGTATTGTGACCTTTACATCGCAAACTTTACCTAAATATATAGTCATCAATAAGGTTATTAAAGAAGTTGAAATATATAAACAAAAAGTTTTGTTGTGCTTTAACTGTCTTAGATACGGCCACTTAGGAAATCAATGTAGAAGTCAGCCAAGATGTAACAGATGCCAAGAAACTCATAATTCAAAGGATTGTACAAAAGTTGAGTTCACAAGAGTATGTTTCAGTTGTAAGGGGAATCATTTTACTACAAATTTAGGCGATTGCCCAGAATTCACACGACAAAAGTTAATAAAAGAGACTATGGATTTAACAAACATTAATTTTTACGATGCAAATAAACAAGTGCCTAAGAAGTCATATCCTAGTATTTTTAGGAATAATACAGCCAATAATGTTACAAATTTACAAAATTTACAACCTTCTACTTCCTACCAGGGAAATAATTTTGCTAAATTTATATTTAATTCTCACACAAACACCACTAGGCCAAATAAAAGGCAGAAACCAAATAATTCAGACCCAACTGATACAGCTAGAAAAGAAATAGTATCTATAGTTTCCCCTACAAAACATCCTGAGGGAATAGTTAAAAGTCAATTCTACCAAAAAAACTTAAACATTGCAGATTCACAGTCAGAAGAGTTAAATTCTTCTGTAATAAATGTCATTTTAGATTCGGTTCTTACAATTGTTAATTCAATTAAACAAAATAATAATTTTAATATTTCCAAAGCTGATGTAATTTAGATAATTAGTAACCATTTTAACCAAAATCTAGCATCAAATTCGCAGACTTAAATAAAATAAACGTATTACAGTGGAACTGTCGTTCAGCAGTTGCTAATAAAGAGAATTTAGAATATTTACTTCATCAAAACGGCATCACTATAGCTCTAATATCTGAAACCTGGTTCAAACCGGGAAAATATTATAATTTTAAAGAATTTAATTGTGTTCGAGCTGACCGCCCTTATGGATATGGCGGTTGTGCCATCCTCTTGAAATCCAACATAATATATGAAGAAATAAATTTTCAAAATACGTATTCGTTTACATATAAGTATATTTCAATAAAAATGTCACATTTCAAGAAACCTTTACATATAATTTCTCTATATAATGAACCCAGGAACAAAGTTTTAATGCAACAATGGATCACTTTTTTAGAAAATATACCAAAACCATTTATAATTGGAGGCGATTTTAACGCACAAAATTTGGCATGGGGCTGTGAAATTGATGATAGATTAGGTAAAGATCTTCTAGATGCTATCGAATACTGTAATTTAGAATATTTAAACGATGGGTCCCCCACTTTTGCTATTTCCAATAAACCTTCTGCTGTAGACTTAACTATTTGTTCCCGAGATATTGCCTCTTATTTTCGTTGGAGTACTTTACAAGAACCTTATGGATCCAATCATGTGCCAATTATTTTTTCATCACAAAGTTTCTCAGCAGCAGAAGACAGATCCAGTAGAAAACATAGAATATGAAACTTTAACAGAGCCAATTGGACGATGTATACCAGCACTTTGGAAGCAATGAAAATACCATTAATCTACGAAGAATTGGTAACAAATATAAACCAGGCAGCCAACGTCGCTATCCCAAAACATTCTTCCATTAAAGAAAAAAAACAAAGGTCATATTCCGAAACCATGGTGGAATAATCATTGTCAGTTAGCAGCTGAAAATAGAAAACATGCGTTTATAAATTATAAACAGAATCCAACGCTCCAAAACCTAATGGGGTTTAAACGACTAGATGCTATTGCAAAAAAATCTTCAAACAGAAAAAAAAGAAGAATTGGATTGATTTTTGCGAAAGTCTAAACTCAAGAACACCAATAGAAAAGTCTGTCTGGTGAAAAGTTAATTGTTTTAAAAACCGCAAACAAGCCAACAAAGTACCTATTGATCCAGAAGATACATGGTTGCAGGAATTCCATAGAAAAATTGCCCCGACGTGGGTTCCAAATGACGACACTGTACAAAAACATATCCAAACAGTACCCAGACAAAACCACAATTTTGACGAGAATTTTCATTTATGGGAATTGCATCGTGCCCTTGAACACAGAAATAATACTTCTCCGGGTATTGACAATGTGTCATATTCGCTATTATACAACCTACCTATAGAATATAAAATTTCACTAGTAAACATTTTCAACAATATTTGGACAAATAAGACACCAGTACCAAATAGTTGGAAAGAGTACCTGGTAATTCCCATTAAAAAACCTGGCAGACCAGAACGTGATCCAAGTTCTTACCGACCTATCTCCTTATCTTCATGTCTTTTAAAAACATTTGAAATAATAATTAAAAATAGATTTAAACATTGGCTAGAACACGATGGTATACTTCCAAGTTCCCAATATGATTTTCGCAAGTCTAGGTCCACTCAAGTTGCAACTACAGCTCTAGTTACTTCAATTCAGCTTAATTTTACATCAAATAAGTCTACAGCAGCTGCGTTCCTTGACATTTCTGCTGCTTTTGATAATGTCAATTTGGACATTCTTTACCAAAAAATTTAAATCTTTAAAATCTTTATATTCTAACAGACTAACTTTTTTAAAAATTAATAATGAGGAATTTTCATACCCCCGACTAACTAACATTGGATTACCACAGGGGAGTATTTTAAGCCCGATTTTATATATCCTGTATAATATAGATCTTGAAGATATACCCAACCATACAAATATTCTTCAATATGCTGATGATGTTTTATATACAGCAGGAAAATTGTTAAGTACCTGTGAGGAGAATTTAAAAGTCACATTAGAAATCGTAAATCAGTACTATGAAGAAATAGGATTATCAATTTCTGACACAAAAACTGAAGTGTGCTATTTTTCACAAAAACATAGAGTTCCACAAGGCAATCTTAATGTGGGAAAATTTAATTTCCCTATAAAAAACTGTATTAAGTATCTTGGTATGTATCTAGACAGGAAATTGTTATGGAAAGATCACATTCATCAAATTGTTAAAAAATCGGAAAACTCAATAAACATTTTAAGAGCTTTCTGTAAAACAAATTGGGAAGCAGACCCAAATATTGCTTTGATGTTTTACCGTAACATGATTAGGCCGATTTTCGACTATAACTGTCAGTTATTTGGATCAGCGGCCAATACACATCTAAACAAACTTAAAGTTTAAAAAAATAAATTCCTGAGATTATGCCTAGGTTATTTAAAATCCACTCCAGTCCAAATAATGGAAAATGAAGAGGTGGAACCTCCATTGCATTTACGACGCCAATTCCTTTGCGACAAATTTACAGTCCGAATTATGTCCAAAAATTGTAAATACTTTCAAGATCTTAATGAGCTATTAGTTTAAGACCTTACATAGGTACTGGAGAACTAAAAAATTTATACCTTTGGTAGAAAGCTATGTAAGTACTGTAAAATACAACGATATTCTCTATAAAAGTCAAATTCCGCCCTACTATGGTGAAATGGCCAAAACACTATTTTCTAGAAAAGTTAAGATATGTTACTTAAACTCACATTTACTCCCAAATATTTTTGATATAATTATTAAAGAAAAATGGACAAATTATCAGTACATTTTTACTGATGGGTCAAAAGATGCAAATGGAACGGGCTGTGCAATTTTCCACGAAAATAAAAATTGCCATCAGTATAGCTTACCCAGTGAATGCTCAATATATACAGCAGAAATGATGGCAATATTGTTTGCTCTTCAGTATGTAGTACAAAATCCTACTAACAACTATGTTATATTTACTGACAGTAAAAGCGTGGTAGACAGATTTAACAACATACAAACAGTCAAACACATAAACCACATTGAACTGAAAATTCTTAAAATTCTGTATGAAACTATACAATTAGGATTAAATGTAATAATTACATGGATCAAGGGCCATTCGAAAATAAAAGGCAATGAGATCGTTGACAATTTGTCTAAATCGGCATATATGCTTGGAGTAAAAGTAAACAAAAATTTAATTCCAGCGACAGATATTGACACCGTTAGTAGACAAAAACTTAAAAATAATTGGCATTTACATTACAGAGAATGTAAGACTGGCTTAAATTTTTATCATTGTAATACTAGGATACCCTCAAGAAGATGGTTCCACACAGAATCTAATCGACATTTTATAAAGACCATTAATCGGCTGCGAGCAAATCATGCTCTTACGCCGTCTTACATGCATGGAATCGGCTTATCAAATACTCCCAATTGTACTTGTGGCAAAATAGGCGATCTAACACATATTATATTAGAATGTGATTTACAAATTAAGCATATAAACGAACTTTATAAGGAATTAATAAATTCTAAGTGTTGTTTTCCAATAAACCTTAATCTTTTAATATTTTCAAATAATATGGAAATTCTTCATTGCATTTACAAACATGTTAAAATGTGTAAATACAAAATGTAAATAGTATATAGGCATAATCTGTTAATATGGTTTGAAAAAAAAAATTATAACACAAATTAAGAAAAAAAAAACAAAAGAATTAAGAAAATAGATATAGAACAAAAACCAAAAAAAATAAATACAAAAAAACAAAAAAAAACAACAAAACAAAAAAAGAAAACAAAACAAAACAAAAGAAGAAAAAAAAAAGAATAAAAAAAAGAAACAAAAAAAATTATATCAAAATATAATTTATGTATAAATATTAGGTATATGTAGTACTAACATTGATAACTTATAACAAGAAAATTTTGACTATGAATCTGCAATCACTAATAATTAAAATTAAATCGATTTTAACAATAAAAACAAACAAGTCTGACTAATTGGCTCTTCCAAAGCCATATTACACAAAAAAAACTGTGTGAGTTTTGCTTCTCAGTAGTTTGCATACCCGAAATTTAAACACATTATAAGTAAAACTCTATAAGTGTTTACTGAATTTTTCCTCTCGTATGTTTTTGTAAAACTGTACTTAATGATTACTGATTTTAAACTAAATAGTAACTATGATAGCGTACCAACTTAGTAAATTATTTACCTTGTAAAACATCAAAAATTAAGTGTACTTAGTGAAAAACTCATTTTTGCGCAATATGCCACTTAATGAGTTTTACCTCTAAAGTGTCCCTATAAAGTGAAAAAAATATGTAACGAAAAGGTCATATTATACGTCAATTTTTTCGATAAAATTTAAATTGCACAAATTCTGTATAATGTTTTAAGATCAGTGTCTAATACCAGCTCAAACTTTAATTCGTATAACACTAATACAAATATACAAAATCCTTTGCTTATACAAAAGACGATATTCTGGGCAGTATAAAACCGAAATGACTTCTCTCTCTGAATAACAACAAGCAATATAAGGAAAGTTTTATAAAAGTTTATAAAAGAAACAGTTTTTGCAAGGAAAAGAATTAGTTTTGTAGTTTTGCTTTCTTAGTATTTGAAACTTTTTTATTGGGTGTTACTGTTTTTAGTATAACACGCAATATTTATATAACTTAATTTAACTGGCAAATTAAATTTTAGATTATATTTCTATTACTATTCCTATTATCTAATACTTTTTAACGATGTTTAGGAGAGCATATACATCCAGGAATATACAGGGGCCTCATTAATTTTGTATTAGCTATCGACATGGGTATGACACCATTTGTAGAAAAATAATGTTTTTAAATCTACGTCAAAAACAGTTCAAAATGATACATTAGATGCTATTGTAACAGTTTACCAGGAAGAGCTTAAAAAATATCATGAATGTGTTGCTTGTGTGAGTCAGACGACCGGTTTCGCTTTCAACAATATGCAAAGCATCTTCAGGTCTCGATACAAAGTTAAATAAATGCTGAAATGATAAAAACCCATAATAGGGTGTTGTCTAATAAAGATAAACAAATTAGATGTTGTAAAATACAATAATTATGCCAATATTACATGTCTGTGGTTTTATTTCAAAATGAGTAAATTAAAAAAAGGTGTAAAAAGTTTTAAAAGTTTAGATAGACAAGGTAAGACCCACAAATTGTTATAAAATAGTCAATTAGATGAATGGTTGAAGCTACTATGTGTTGTTGAATGGAGAACTCAATTCTGCTATTGTAGTTGTTTGACAGTAAACGGGAAGTTCTTGAGGAGATAGATTTGATCCAATGAAGCAGAGATATGTGTATGATTGTTTGTTAAATGAAAGTGATGTTATATACCATTGTATTATTTAAAAGTTATTTATACTTATTCGAGAGATATATTTATGAAATGTGTGTTATTTATTGAGTAATTGTTTTATGAAGTGACAGTTTTATGACAATGAATAAGTTTAGATGTACAAATTGTGTGGGTGTGCAATTATTTTTCAACTTGTAATTATCAAATTTCTTTGATAAAGTTCTATTGGCAAAATAGTAGATTATTGCAAAGTCGAGTAAATAAAATATTAGAATTAAAACAATTAAGGACAATTTAAAACACACTAAAACAGAAAACACTTAGAAGGGACGAAACAAACATTAAATTTAAAAGGGGAAGGACTTTTATGCACTACATCTCAGTCTTGGGCACAATTAGTTTTTTATGTTATCTATTAGATTTTAGTGGTAAACTTGACAGATGTAGGTTAGCATGTGACAGTTCTTCTTCTGTTTGTCAATACTGCAAGTTAAGTTATCTAGTTTTATGAAATATGCTAATATTAATGAATGTCTATAAATGGTTTTAATTAAGATATCAAAAGTAAATTGATGTGTTTAATATTGGCATACTTTAACAATCTTTAATTAATTAAATTTAAATGTAAAAATACGAATAATTGAAATACATCCCATATTATAACTAACTCAGTTTAGTCCAAATTACTGAACAAATTAAAGTAATTCTTTGGCAACTAAACATGTACATTTTATAATCAAACGTATAACAAATTTACAAAAAAATTTTATTTTTTATTTGAAATCATTGTTGATCTGAGTTATCTGTCATGGTGTTTATAAATATTTTCGATATTTAATTCAAATTCTGATATATTAATATATTAATATCTGATATATTAATATGTAACCAAAGTAATAAGTGGATAATTATTGATGGTAATTAATTTATGGGTTCAAGAAATTTACTGAATTATAAAGCCTTCAATAATTAGTCAGTTAATTAGTTGGTAGTTCTAATATCTGACAGTTGGAACCGGAAATTGTTATACGAACAGGTAAAAAGATCCTCTATTTAAACCGGCGTAAAGTAAATATATTCTTATTTCAATTTTTCGTGTCATATGAACAGATATTCCTCACACCGACATGAAAAATGGTAAGTTTGTACAATTGTTTTAAGTAACACTTTAAATTTTTTTAAATAATAGCTGTTTATGAAAGTTAATATTTCTATTTGAATTGTAAATTTGTGTATGGTTGTGAATAGTAAAGATGTATTCAATGATTACAGTTAGTCTGAACGATTTTCATGTCATGTTGGAAATCCTCAAACCACGTGTTGAGTTTGAAATCAAAAATTTTTTGTAAGATGAGTATATTTCGGAACCAGATGGAATGCAATAATAATTGTGGGTTAAATAAGTTGAGGAACCATACCAGTTCAATACTGATATTTAATGTAGTTTTTAGGAAAAATATTGTTTCTGGTAGTATGTTAAAGAAATTCTGTGAACAAAGAACTAGATCCATAGGGACCAGATTTTAACTTTGATGTAGAAGATTTAAATAATCTAAGAAGTATTTTAAATTTAAATTTTCAATTTAAATAGAAATATTAACTTTCATAAACAGCTATTATTTAAAAAAATTTTAAAATGTTACTTAAAACAATTGTACAAACTCACCATTGGTTATGTCGGTGTGAGGAATATCTGTTCATATGATACGAAAAATTGAAATAAGAATATATTTACTTTATACCGGTTTAAATAGAGGATCTTTTTACCTGTTCGTATAACAATTTCCGGTTCCAACTCTCAGATATTAGAACTACCAACTAATTATTGAACGCTTTATAATTCAGTCAATTTCTTGAGCCCATAAATTAATTACCATCAATAATTATACACTTGTTACTTTGGTTACATATTAATATATCAGATATTAATATATTAATATATCAGAATTTGAAAACATTTATAAACACCATGACAGATAACTCACACCAATAATAATTTCAAATAAAAAATAAAAAAAATTTGTAAATTTGTTATACGTTTGATTATAAAATGTACATTGTACATGTTTAGTTGCCAAAGAATCACTTTAATTTGTTCAGTAATTTGGACTAAACTGAGTTAGTTATAATGTAGGATGTATTTTAATTATTCGTATTGTTACATTTAAATTTAATTAATTAAAGATTGTTAAAGTATGCCAATATTAAACACATCAATCTACTTTTGATATCTTAATTGAAACAATTTATAGACATTCATTAATATCAGCATATTTCATAAAACTGAATAACTTAACTTGCAGTATTGAGAAACAGAAGAAGAACTGTCACATGCTAACCTACATCTGTCAAATTTACCACTAAAATCTAATAGATAATATAAAAAACTAATTGTGCCCAAGACTGAGATGTAGTGCATAAAAGTCCTTCCTCTTTTAAATTTAATGTTTGTTTCGTCCCTTCTAAGTGTTTTCTGTTTTAGTGTGTTTTAAATTGTCCTTAATTGTTTTAATTCTAATATTTTATTGACTCGACTTTGCAATAATCTACTATTTTGCCAATAGAACTTTATCAAAGAAATTTGATAATTACAAGTTGAAAAATAATTGCACACCCACACAATTTGTACATCTAAACTTATTCATTGTCATAAAACTGTCACTTCATAAAACAATTACTCAATAAATAACACACATTTCATAAATATATCTCTCGAATTAGTATAAATAACTTTTAAATAATACAATGGTATATAACATCACTTTCATTTAACAAACAATCACACACATATCTCTGCTTCATTGGATCAAATATATCTCCTCAAGAACTTCCCGTTTACTGTCAAACAACTACAATAGCAGAATTGAGTTCTCCATTCAACAATACATAGTAGTTTCAACCATGTTCTACCATCCATCAATTAATAGAGTACCGGCATGTAAGTAATATTTATTTATTTGCCCATTTATTAATTTATTACAATCTAATAGACTATTTTATAACAATTTGTGGGTCTTACCTTGTCTATCTAAACTTTTAAAACTTTTTACACATTTTTATTCAATTTACTCATTTTGAAATAAAACCACAGACATGTAATATTGGCATAGTTATTGTAATTTACAGCATCTAATTTGTTTATCTTTATTAGACAACACCCTAATATGAGTTTTTATCATTTCAGCATTTATTTAACTTTGTATCGAGACCTGAAGATGTTCTGCATATTGTAGAAAGCGAAACCGGTCGTCTGATAGTTAAATTAAATTGATTGTGAGTAAGTCTTCTTTATTATTTCTTTACCCACTTAAAAAATATGTTTCAGGGGCACGGTTTGTATCTATTCAGTGTGATGAAACTACCACTGATGTTTTTAGTCATTAGCAACTTGTAATTATTTTAAGATTTGAGCGGAATGGTCAAATTTGCAAACGTTTTGAAAATATTTTGAACCTGTTTCACATATTACTAGTGACGTAGACACGGAAATGTAATTAACTTGTAATTAATTTAAGATTTGAGTGGAATGGTCAAATTTGCAAACGTTTTGAAAATATTTTGAACCTGTTTCACATATTACTAGTGACATAGCCACGGAAATAAGAAAAGAGTTGAAACTGCTTAATATCAAATAAAATAGTGCCAAGTGATCATAAATTCTGACGACATAGTAAATATAGCGAGCACATTCAAAAAACTGCAAATTATGATGGGGAACTAGCAGGCAGCTCTCAATACGTCAGCCTAAAAATAAATATAAAAAAAAAACAAAAATAATGACAAACACAGATGACCCAAGACGTATAACTATAAATTGCAGTGAGATAGTCCAGGAATATATCTACCTAGGCCAAATCCTGAAACTTGACAAAGAGAACCAAAGTGCGGAAATTACTAGGAGAGCAAGACTAGTATGCGCAGGATTTGAAAAACTTGGACACTTAAGAACCATAAAA